CCCAAAACGTATACACACTGTACAAGCTGATAGATCAATTTTGAAAAATAAAATGCATTTTAATAAACATTGCCTTTATAATTACTCAAAGTGTGGGTTACACTTTTGGCACACCCTATATTAACTTCAAATGAATAAAAGTTATCCTCAATAAAACAGCAATATACATTGTGTTGGAAGAATTGATTGATGGAAAAAGGAAAGTCTAATGAGAAATGGCAACAGAGATGATTTATGGGAACCAGACATACACCAAATATGGAAATTATTTTCCAGATTTTAAAATGTAAATGTGTGATCTTTTCTGTTACTAAGTCTTGCTAATGTGAAAATTTGTTCTTTCTATTTTCTGATAGTCACCTCTGACACATGGAACCAGGCAATGATACGCAAATATCAGAATTCCTTCTTCTGGGACTTTCACAGGCCCTGGAACTGCAGCCCCTCATATTTGGGATGTTCCTCTCCATGTATCTAATCACTGTGTTGGGAAACCTGCTCATCATCCTGGCTGTCAGCTCAGACTCCCACCTCCACACGCCCATGTACTTCTTCCTCTCCAACCTGTCCTTGGTAGACATCTGTTTCACCTCCACCACCGTCCCAAAGATGCTGGGTAACATCCAGACACAGACCAAAGTCATCACCTATGAAGGCTGCATCACCCAGATGTATTTTTATATACACTTTGCAATGTTGGACTGCTTTATCCTCACTGTCATGGCCTATGACCGGTTGGTGGCCATCTGCCACCCCCTGCACTACATAGTCATCATGAACATCCAGCTCTGTGGACTGCTGGTTCTGCTGTCCTGGATCCTGAGTGCCATGGTTTCCTTGCTACATAGCTTAATGGTGTTGCGTCTGTCCTTCTGCTCAGACTTCAAAATCCCTCAATTTTTCTGTGAACTCAATCAGGTGGTTCAACTTGCCTGTTCTGACACCTTTCTTAACAACTTTATTATATATCTTTTAATTGTGCTACTTGGTGGTGGTCCCTTTGCTGGGATCCTTTACTCTTATTTTAAGATAGTGTCCTGTATACGTGGAATCCCATCAGCTCAGGGGAAGTATAAAGCCTTTTCTACCTGTGCGTCTCACCTTTCAGTTGTCTCCTTATTTTATGGTACAAGCCTAGGAGTGTATCTCACCTCTGCTGCTACCCAAAATGCACACTCAACTGCAATAGCCTCGGTGATGTACACTGTGGTCACACCCATGCTGAACCCCTTCATCTATAGTCTGAGGAACAATGACATAAAGAGGGCCCTGGAAAGATTCTTTGGCAGGTAAGCTTTTCAAGGGCCAAGTGTACTAATCTGAAGAAGTGGCTGTGAATTACGGGTTCAAAGCCTCAGAGCTCTATTATTTTCTAAGACAAATTAATCCAATCTTTCGACCATACATGATTGGAAATTCTCATCTCATGGGTTAGCATGAATTCCTTTAGCATAATTTATTCTCTCATGGTATACTATCTTTCAAAGTAATATTTCTATTGTTTTTTTGATAGAATAGTCATGAGTTATACTCTCCCATGGACATAAGTACATTTGGGTACAAAGGTTATTTACATAATTTTATTATAGAGGAAAATCTGAGACCACAGTTTTCATGGTGCACATCTAATCATTAAAGTGTGGATAGGATGTCTTTGTGTCTGTGTTCTTATTCACTTGGAGAAAAATTACCTGGAGAGTTTTATGTGCTTTTTCTGAACTATTTTTCTGCTTCTGCTGAAAGCCTTTCAATGTGCTCCCTACAAATGTGCTTCTTCCTAGGGCTCTGAGTTAAATATCTCTCCTTTTCAAAACCTTTCCAAATCCACCAAAGGGATAGTGAGTGAACAATGTCCATATCATACAATATAAGTCTGAATGAAGCTTATCTCACACATATTTTCTCCACAAGTCACATCACAGCCTCCCTCATTTAGAAACATTATTAGTGGGTACCAATACAGTGAAATCACCAACAGAAAGAACGAAACTTTTTTACGTGTGGCACTACATAGACTATGAAAACTACCCATTATGGTCTCAGAGCTGATACAAGAAGGCAGAGTCTTGCCTTGTTGGACCTCAGATTAGAAGTGGCCAGTAAGCAATTCAGATTGGTCTCTTCTCTGTGCATGTCTGAGAATGACCACTGAGTTCTCACCAGTACTGATTTTGGGTTGCAAATAATTGTTTGCAAGTAGGTGAGTTCTCAAATGTGGAATCTGTGAATAATGAAGAATGACAGAACAAATGCGCGCGCGCACACACATAAACATACAGAATCTCAAGTGTGTTTGTGTGTGTGTGTGTGTATGTGTGTTTACCACTCAACATAAGCCACAGTGACAGGAATAGTAGGAAGCCAGTGGGGTTGGAGGAAATAGTGAGGAGACAGTGGGAAGAGATGATGATGGCAGGGAGAGACAGAGCAGGACATGTAGAGCCTTGTGGGTCACAAGCAAGTCTTTGACTTTTGCTTTGAGTGTGCTGTGAGCAGAGGTTGTCCTCTGGCCACTATTGGGGAACAGCGCGTGCGTGTTTGTGTGTGTGTGTGTGTGTGTGTGTGTGTGTGTGTGTGAGTGTGCGGTCGGGGAGAGTGGAGTGGAGCTGAAAGGTCAGGGAAGAAGTGACTGAACTGATCACAGTAGAAGATACTGGGGCTTGTGCAGGGTAAGGCCATGGAGGAGGCAAAAAGTAGGTGGATTTTGAAAGTAGAACTCTCCGGGTTTGCTGATACTGGAGTTTTTGGGGAAGTAGAGAGCAGCAGAGATAGAGCAACAGATGACTCTAGGATTTTGACTTGAGCACCTGGGCCACTAGGTAAAACACTGAGGCCCACAGAAGCAGAGGGAGATGCCCAGGTTCCAGATGGGTCCACAGTGGCTTCATACCCAGCCAAGACCTGGCCCTGATGTGAGAGCTCTGGTGGTGTGGATATCACGAGGGGCAGAGCCTGCTCAAAACCAGGCACCTTCTCTCATTGCCTCTCAAGTCCACATCCCAGTACTCCCCCTCTGACTCTGTTCTCTTCCTTTTAGTCTTGTTTCCAGAAGTACTGCTCCCTGGAGACTCAGGCCATGTGCTTCTGATTCCTTTGTCCTGAAAATATATGGCATGAGCACCCATGAAAGCCTTATGTGGCAGAGGCTGGAAGCAGTGGTGGGGAGGAGGACATTTCTCCCTTGAGGTTGGGTAGGGCTGTGTCTAGAAGCCCAGCAGCATCTCCAGGGCAACCAAGAGAGGAGAGGCATCCTCTCAGGCCACGCCAGATGGGGGGCTTCCCAGGGCAGCCTTCCTTTGAGGCCCTCTGGTGCCCACCCCGAGCCATGGTTCCAGCTTCTCTGACCTGCCATCTCCCAGTTCTTCCCGCACATTTCCTCCTAGGAGTCATGATTATAGCATTTGGTTTTCCTCAACCCCTCCTTCCTACACAGCTCTGCCACTCCTAGGACCTCCTTCCCAGTGGCCACATGAGCCTGGCTACCCAGGGAGTCTCAAATAGCCCAGCATGCCCTGTGTGGGACCAGAGCCCTTCCTGGAACTTTTCCTGCCCTCCTTTCCACCATCTGGGCATCTCTGGGTCCCTCCTGTCTCTCATGTCAAAGGCCTCAGAGGGTTGTCTTAACTCATTTGTCCTTCCAGTGAGCACTGACACCTGCTCTAGTTACTGCTTTTCTAGGTTATGAGTCTAGACAGAGACCAATACTTGGAAGCAAGTGCTTTTAGTGGCCTTTTTGTGCCTTAATAAATCAGCCCATCCATCTCCTGATGTTTGATGAAGAAGGAACTTATGTTCCTGTTCCTGTTACAAGATAGGGAGACTGGAGCAAAGAGCGCAGAGAAGCCATACCTCATTTCTGACCCCACAGAAACTGTGAGATCATAACTATTTGCTGTTATTTTAGGCCCTTATATTTGGGGCAATTTGTTGCACAGCAATAAATCACTAACACAACATATTTCGCCAGAGATTAAGAGGTGAATCAGGAATTATAGTGTTTGCCCAGTTTAAATAAAATTGTAATAGAAGTCTGCTTTGGGCTGGTTGCCCTTAACTGCAAAGTTTGAGATAAGGATTGAGTGTGGGTACATCATTAGCAGTAGATCTTACAAAGCATGAGTAGAGAAGAAGGGACATGAGATAGGGAGGTATAGGCAACAAATCATGAGAGTTTGAATGAACTATTTCTGCAGTGGGCACTTGCTGGGGTCCAGCCCCAGCGGGTCCAGGGGTCCCCAAAGGTGTGGATGGAGTCGGCGAAGAAGGAATGACATGGAGACAGCGTTCAGTTGATCAGCAGCCTTGCCAGGATCTCTAGCCACAACCTCCAGCCAAGTTCTGTGTCCATGTTCTCTTGCTAGGTTCTCCAGCCACGTTCTCCAGGTTCTCCAGCCAGGTTCTGTAGCCATGTTCTCTCGCTAGGTTCTCCAGCCAGCTTATCTCCATTCCAGGGAGTAAAGAAAAGCATGATTGTTCGTAGTTAGATTAATTACCCGCCTGGCACTTAGTTAAGAGGTTTTATTCCCTCCCTAACTTCAGGGGAAAATCCCTACCTGGGGAAACAACCTTTCTCGGAGAGGTGACCTTGGTTAAAACACAGCGCCAAGAAGGTGAGCAAACATATTAAGAACAGTATGCCATATATGCCAGGTCCCTTGAAACAGCAAGGATGGACTGGCTCCCGGCAGGCACTGGGGTCAGTCCTTCCAGGGATCTTTGAGAGAGTATAGAACATAACGCTTGAGGAGTGAGGGAGCTGGGGTATTGATTTACCAAAAGTGGTGGAGGGTCATTCCCAGGGATGCAAACTCCTTATCAATTTTGACCTGCAGCCACATAGGCCACAGAAATCCCCAGGCAGATCTTCTCAGTTGTTCACCAGAGCAGCGACTATAGGGAGATGAATGAGGCAAAAAGATTAATCGTTCCCTTGGCCTCTGTTCTAAAATGTCTCGGCACATTGCTGTGACAGATCCTGTCTTATTTAACATTTTGCTATTTAAATCATCATGAATGTTTTGCATTAATTTTGATTTTTTAAAACAGTTCATTTAAATAATAGTCATCTTGACTACTTGAGTTCCTTGGTGTCCCTTAAATTTTGTTCCAGCCCTGGGGATCATGGATGAGGGCATCAGTACACATGGGATAGGGCTTGGGTGCCAGTTGCCACATCTGAATCAGGGTGGGCTCAGTTCTGCTCTAGTAACAAGCTAACCCCAAATCTCCATGGTTTAATGCATCAGAGATTTTCCTTTCACTTGGCTACTGTCTGCACATCAAGGAAAAGAAAACAATGTGTGGCCACTTAGGTCTCTTGTCCTGGATTTTTTTCTTTTTTGTTTTTATAAATGCATTTTTATTGATTTCAGAGAGGAAGGGAGAGGGGAGAAAGATAGAAACATCAATGATGAGAGAGAATCACTGAAATGCTACGACCTGCATGTGCCCTACTGGGGATGGAATCTGCAACCCTGGCATGTGCCCTTGATTGGAGTAGAACCCAGAAGTCTTCAGTCCACAGGCTGATGCTCTATCCACTGAGCAAAACCAACTAGGGCTGGGTTTTTTTCCCTAATGTGGTAAAATACAGGTAATATAAAGGTTACCATCTAACCATTATTTAAATTGACAGTCCAGTGCATTAAGTACATTCACATGCAACCATCACCACCATTCATCTCCAGGCTTTCTTAACTTCACAAAGTGGAACTTGGTTCCCATTAAGCATTCATTCCTCCTCCTTCTCCCCCAGCCCAAGGCACACACCATTCTACTTCCTGTCTCTATAGGTTTGACTCTTCTAGGGACCTCATAAAAGTGGAGTCACACAGTATTTGTCCTTCTTTGACCGGTTTCTTTCACCAGCATGATGTTCTTAAGGGACATCCATGTGGTAGCATGTGTCAGAATATGGTTCCCTTTACTAAACATTTTAAGTCGTAAAAAACACATAACAAAATTAATCATTGTAACCATTTTTAAGTGTGCAGTTCAGTAGGGTTAAGTACCTTCACATTGTTGTGCAATTAACCTCCAGAATTTTTAAAAAATATATTTTATTGATTTTTTTTTATTTTTTTACAGAGAGGTAGGGAGAGAGAGAGATAGAAATATCAATGAGATAGAAGCATTGATCAGCTGTCTCCTGCACACCCGTACTGGGGATGTGCCTGCAACCAAGGTATACCCTTGATGGGAATCAAACCTGGGACCTTTCAGCCCCCAGGTCGATGCTCTATCCAGTGAGCCAAACCGGCTAGGGCCAAAATCTTTATCTTGAACAACTTCACCTCCTTCCATCAGGAACTCCACCCCCAAGCAATACAAGTATTGGATTGGATTATGAGTATGTTAAGAGCAGATCAATAAAACGAAAAGGGTTGTCTACATGAGGATGCCAAAAAAAGATGGTTATCAATAAGGTAACAGCTTTCTATTTCTGTTAGTCAATGAGTTAAGTCCTTAGAGTGAAGATATCTGGAAGGAAAAAGTTTTACTTTTTAAACCTAGAAATGATAAACTGGAGACAAGCGGCAGAGGGGTGATGTTTATATTTGGAGGGGCCTGACCCTTTAGAGTAGAACTTCCACATCTGCTCATTAAACATATTTTTACTCTCATTCTCTTCTCTGAGATCATTCAGCCATTGATGGTCAATGTAAGAGCAGATCAATAAAATGAAAAGGGCTGTCTACATGAGGATGCCAAAAATGACTGACCCATAGATGACTGCAGACTCATGAGGAGACCAGCATGGATCAGAACACCTCACTACACAAATAAAACTTTACTGAGGCCGAAACCGGTTTGGCTCAGGGGATAGAGCGTCGGCCTGCGGACTGAAAGGTCCCAGGTTTGATTCCGGTCAAGGGCATGTACCTTGGTTGCGGGCACATCCCCAGTGGGGAGTGTGCAGGAGGCAGCTGGTCGATGTTTCTCTCTCATCGATGTTTCTGACTCTCTATCTCTCTCCTTTCCTCTCTGTAAAAACTCAATAAAATATATTTGAAAAAAGAAAAAAAAAACTCTACTGAGTTAAAATTTACACAATTGGTAAATTTGCAGCGATGTTCCCCATTCTTTGTCTGTTTCCATGTCTTCGTCAGTGTGACTGTAAGCTCCTCCCATCCAGAGCTGAAGTCTTCTGTTCCACCTTTGAATCTGGGTTGGACTTAGGATTTTCTTTTTTTAGTAGTTTTGGTCAAATTAATGGTGGAAGTGATAGTGCGCTTTACCAGGCCTTGGTGCATTTCTACTGCTCTCACTAGGAACCCTGGCTGAGCCATGTGAACAAATCCAGGGGCCTTCCAGAGAAGGAGAGGACATGCGGACAGAGTCATTTATTCCAGCCAAGCCCTCCCTAGATGAGTCACCATAGCTGAGTCCCTAATATGGTAGAAAGCCCAGCCAAGGTCAGCAGAGACACCCCCGCTGACCCACAGTTGACCCATTGCTGACTGCAGACTCATGAGGAGACCAGCAGGGATCAGAACACCTCCTCACTACGCAAACCCATTGGAAAATAAAGGAATTGTATTAAACAATTTGCTTTTAAGATGGCTTACTATACAGCAATAGTGAATTGATACTATAATCAAAGCAAACAGAACTGAGGGAAATGATAGTAATCTCCTACTTCTTACTTTTGGCATTTGTACTGATATTTGAGGACAGCATTCACTATCATTTTGTTTTTCAAATGCATTTAGATAACTGTACAGAAGTGCCTCCACTGATTTCCCTTCCAGGTAGTCAGAACTGGGTAGAAGGACATGCATGTTTGTGCAGGAAAATTTGTGATTCTTGTTCACATGACTTGGCAGAATTGTAACTCCTGTGTGATTCATCCTTTGATCATAAAGATAGTATACACTCTTGAGTATAAAGCAGATATATGTATTGTATGATATTGAGATTGTTCACTCACTGTCCCTTCAGTGGGTTTGAAAAAAAGTTTAGAAAAGGGTAGGTATTTCATTTAAAGCACTAGAAGGAGGCACATTTGTAGGGATCACATTGAAAATTTTCAAACAGAAACTGGAAAATAACTCAGAAAAAAACAAGCATAAAACAATTCACACTCTTCTTCTCACAAATAAATAAGGACACTTACGCATGAACCTCATATTTTTTCTTTATTTTTTAATTGATATTTTAAAGAGAAAGTAATAAAGAAAGAGAAAGAGAGAATGGGAAAGAGAAAGAGAGGGAGAAAAAACATCAATGCGAAAGAAAAACATTGATTGATTGCCTCTAGTATGCACCATGCCTGGGATGTAACCCGCCACCTAGATATATGCCCTACAGCATTTTTGGTGCACCGTTAGACACCCCAACCAAGGAAGCCACTGTGTAAAGACCATATTGCACAGTTTGGAATTGATGTCTAGCATTTTTGTATAGTAATAAATTATATGGCTATTTTTGTTTCCTTATATTTAAGGTCATCTCCAACTCTAACCATATAAGATCAGTCTATTTATTAAAATATATATTTCCATGTAGATTCTTCTTGGACACATGTATTCGATAGTCGGTTTTTTACAGTGGATATGGTAGGCATGTGGTCACACAGCTGAACAAAAGAATGAAGAATATAAAACCAGGAGACCAGCTATAAAACATACTAGCATGTTGAAGTCTACATCATCAAGAAGAGCAGTAAAGGTGGTGCTACGGAAACTAATGATAAGCATGTAAGTGAAAACTGTGATCTCAGATTTTCCTCTACAATAAAATTATGCAAATGACCTAAGTATTCAAGAGTAGTTTTTCCCATAGGAGTAATATAATTCATGACCATATTTTCAGGGAAACAATAGAAAAATTACTAGGAATCCTATATAATAAGAGAGGAATATGCTAATTAGCTGGGACACCCTCACAGGTAATGTCAGGCAGGAGCGAGTGGGCGTGGCTGCCAGGCCCAGGAGGCTGGGCATGTGAGGCTTCGTCAAATAAAATAAAAGGCATTCACATATCTGAAGACGACTGTGTTCAAGGAGGAAGGGCTCCAGTTTTGTTTTCTCACACCCAGTTAGGAGGACTCCCTGGGCGGTTCTCCCCTCTGAGCCCTGAGCAGGATGGACGCTCTGCTCCGCCTGGGATCCCGAAGGGGAGGTGGAGTGAAGTACTTTCCCTCTGGGACCCCGCTCTCCCTGGGAACCCGGAAATCCACCTCCCGGGGTGACTGCAGCAGCCAGGCCTGGTGAGCCACAGACAGGGCAACCTACCCAGAGGACACATGGCTGCCATAGTTGAATTCATCCTCGATGGAGGAGATGGGGTGGTGGGGATTGGAGTGGCCATGTCACCAATGGAAACCCAGCTCCCCACCAAATGACTACAGCTCATGGACCTCCATGGTCCTTGGTCACTTCCTGAGCAGCAGTCAGCCCCCACCGGGGATCAAACCCAAAACCTAAGTAGGTGCCCTGACAGAATAGAACCCAAACCTTTGCTGTGGCAGAGGAGCTCCAACACACAGCAGGGGCCAGGGCACGCCAGAGGGGTTTTGTTGAGGGACCCTGACAGGCAGCGTGCAGTACAGTGGGTTAGAACCTCCTCCTGATACAGCAAGGTTGTGGGTTGGATCCCTCGTCAGGGAACAGACAAGAAGCAACCAAAGAGAGCATAATAAGTGGAACAGCACACTGATGTTTCTCTCGCTCCCTTCCTCTCTCTAAAATAATCAATCAATAAAAATTAAAATACAAAATAAAGCCTCTGACCCTAACCAGTTTGGCTCAGTGGATAGAGCGTTGGCCTGTGGACTGAGGGGTCCCCGATTAGATATGGGTCAAGGGGATGTGCAGGAATTTGCTGATAGATGTTTCTAACTCTCTATCCCTCTCCCTTCCTTTCTGTAAAAAAACCCAATAAAATATGTTTAAAAAAATAAAAATAAACCTTCTGGCTTGCAAAGTTGCTAAAACAGAAAGTAAAGTCCCATCCCTTCCTGTTCATTCAACAAATACTTCATATGCTCCTTCAATAATCACACTGGGGATGGGTGTTTGTTTGTTTTGGTTAATCCACACCTGAGGACATTTTTGCATTGATTTTTTTTTTTTTTCTTTTTACATGGAAGGGAGGGAGAAAGACAGAAACTAACATGAGAGACATCAAAAGCAATCCAACAGGAATGGAACCCATAACATGTATATGTGCCCTTATCTGGAATTGAACCCATGCCCCTTTGGTGCATGGGAGGACACTGTAACTACTGATCCACACCAATCAGGGCCTGGAGGTACATTAAAATTTTTTTTTTCAGATCTGCCCTGGCCAGGTGGCTCAATTGGTTGGAGTCACGACTTGTACACCAAAGGATTTTCTGTTGGAGTCTAAGTTAGGGCACATACTTAGGTTTAGGTTAGATCCCACTGGGTCAGTAGGTGCAGAGGCAGCCTACTAGTATTTCTCTGTCACATGGATGTTTTTCTCTCTAAAAATCAATTTTAAAAACATTCTCAGGTGAGAACTAAAAAAATATATATATTAAAAAATTTTTCAGATCTGAAATTTTATTTGGTTATTTTTTTAATTTTATTTTTCATTTATAGTTCACATTCAATATCCTATCCTATATATTAAAACCCTAATATGCAAACAGACCTAACAGTGGAATGATTGGTCACTATGAACTGACCACCAGGGGGCAGATGCTCAAAGTAGGAGCTGCCCACTGGTGATCAGTGTACTCCCACAGGGGGAGAGCAGCTCAGTCAGAAGCAGGGCTCACGACTGGCGAATGCGGTGGAGGTGGCGGGAATCTCTGTGGCAGCACTAAGGAGCAGTGAGCTGAGCGGTAAGGAGCGAGGGGTTCCGGACTGTGAGAGGGCACAGGCTGGGCTGAGGAACCCCTCCCCTCCACCCCCTGAGCATGAATTTCGTGCACCGGGTCTCTAGTATGCCATAAGAGAATAAATTATGCTAAAATAACTCATGTTAACTCATGAGATAAATGAGAATTTCCAATTAAATATGGTCCAAAGATTGATTAATTTTTTTCAGACTTCAGGCTCTGAGGCTTTGAACCATGCATTCCTGGGCAATTCTTCAGTTCAGTACAGTTGGCACTTGAAAAGTTTACCTGCCAGGAACCTTTGCAGGGCCCTCTTTATGTCCTTGTTCCTCAGACTGTAGATGAAGGGGTTCAGCATGGGTGTGACCACAGTGTACATCACTGAGGCTGTTGCACTTGACTGTGCATTGTGGGTAGCACTTGAGCTGAGGTAAACTCCAAGGCTAGTACCATAAAATAAGGAGACAACTGAGAGGTGAGATGCACAAGTAGAAAATGCTTTATACTTCCCCTGAGCTGATGGGATTCCACATATGGAGGAAAGTATCTTAGAGTAAGAGTAAAGGATCCCAGCAAGGGGACCACCACCTAGCAGACAGAGCCGGGGGTTCATGATGACTGTGTAGCGCAACGGGTGGCAGATGGCTACAAACCGGTCATAGGCCATCACAGTCAGGATGAAGTCATCCAACCCAGCAAAAAGTATGAAAAAATACATCTGTGTGATGCAGCCTTCATAGGTGATGACTTTTCTCTGTGTCTGGATGTTCCACAGTGTCTTGGGGATGGTGGTGGAGGTGAAACAGATATCTACCAAAGACAGGTTGGAGAGGAAAAAGTACATGGGTGTGTGGAGGTGGGAGTCTGAACTGACAGCCAAAATGATGAGCAGGTTTCCAAACACAGTCACCAGGTACATGGAGAGGAAAAGCCCAAATATGAGGGACTGTAGTTCCAGTGCTTGTGAAAGTCCCAGAAGAAGAATTTCTGAAATTTGTGTACCATTGCTTGGTTCCATGTGTCAGAGGTGACTACTAAAGAAAAAAAAGAGAAATAAAGAAAAAATGAATAACCAATTTTCACATTAACAAGCATTAGTACCTGAGAATAAATGACACATTCATGTTTTATAATCAGGAAACAATTATCATATTTGGTGTGTGATCTGGTCCCCATTATGGTATCTCTGTTAGAATTTCCTTTCCTACCATCAACCTGCTCTTCAAGCATAATATATATGACCGTGTTATTGAGGATATCTTTCATGCATTTGAGGAATATATATTGACTATAGATCATGTTCTAAGCACTGTATGGATCCTTAAAAACAAATGTCTACAAACTAATGAGGGAGCAATAATATAATCAAATGAAAAAATAATGTAATATATCCAATAGTGCAGCTAATATAAAGAAAAGTAAATCACATTAAATGGAAAGAATATATAGCGAGTGTTATTTTTTTACTAGAGGCCCAGTTCATGAAATTAGTGCACTTGAGCTGGGGGGAACCTCAGCCTGGTCTGAGCCCTCTCATAGTCCAGGACTCCTCGGGGCCAGAGAGGCTCCCACCACCACCGCTGTGCTTGCCAGCCATGAGCCTGGCTTCTGGCTGAGCAGTGCTCCCCCTGTGAGAGTGCACTGACCACCAGGGAGCAGGTTCTGTGTTGAGCGTCTGATCCCTGGTGGTCAGTGCATGTCATAGTGGCCGGTTGCTCTACTGTTCGGTTGATTTGTATATTAGGCTTTTATTATATAGGATGGTGTTTAGCCAAGACTTGCCACAGGTGAGTCTTTAACAGACACTTCAAAGAAGACTAAACTGGAAACTGAGGGGGAAGTGTTTGCTAGGTAGAAGGATCTGCCTGTGTAAGGGCCCTCAGGAATATGGTTGCTTCAGAAAACCAATACTCAACATTTGCCAGTGTGTCAAGGGAATGAGCAAGTCAGAACAGGATGAGAGATGGTGTCAGAGAATATTAAGAAACAAGGTGGCCACGTGTTGCTGTTGAAATTTCAAGTCACAGAGAATACCTTTTGCACAACATGTAAATCTTGCACTGAGTAATCTGGTTGCAAAAGCATCCTATGAATTGCAAAGGATCTCCTCCTTCTTGATATTGTAAGTTACCTTGGAATATATCAGTCCAGGCACCCCTGTTCTGAGGGCTGCTCTCAGTTTACAAGCCACACACACACACACACCCCAGGGCCTCCTCATGTGTGTTATTTCTATGTCCTTTTCACTCCCTCCCACACTATGTAGTCAATGAGTAAATATAAGTCAAACTGTCAATATCAAGGATCTTTATCAAAAAGAACTTAGAAAAGTACCCAGATATTCCTAATTGTAAGCCTCCCATGGACACATAAACTTGGGATTTCATATTGCTATGTCCATTTTTCTTCCCTGTATTTAAAGAAACATTAAAAAATAGTTTAAATGAACATTAGAAGCAAGAGAGCAATAAAATGTACATGAGGAAGAAAAGAGACCCAATTAGCTCAGTTGGTCCTTGAGAGACAATGAGGAAGAAAAATCTTCTTTGGATTCTGGATGCTTTCCAATTATACCCCCTTGAGGCTAAGCAAAATGAATAGAGAAGAAGAAATAAAATTGTCCATGAAACTATGGCAGTTGTAAATATATGATGTGAAACACCTTACAGATTGACTATCCCAAGTGAAAACTGACTAAAAAAAACCCCAATAACTCACAAAAAGAAATATACAAAAACAACACTGGTTAATATTTTTAATATCAAGCAGTAGAAGACCATTTTTTTCCCTGTGCCTCTTCCATATATTTTTGACCAGTTGGTTTTTATACGGTTGATGGCAGATGAGACAAGCCCCCTTTCTCACTTTTCTTATGTAGCATCTTTGTTTTTCTTTGATTTTAAGTTTTGATCTCCTTTTGACAAATCAATGGGCTCAGTCTAATCAATATGATTTAAGCCTGAGCACATTGTCATGCAAACCTTTATTTCATTGGACTCTGTCTTCACCATCACGGTGCCAGATCCAAACAAACAGGGATTCACCTGTTTTGTTTACCTTTGTACTTTCACAAAAGTGACTATGTGTGCTCTTACGTAGGAACAGATTTATGTAAATGTGAAGTCATGAAATTAAAGGAATGACAGGGAGAATGGAACCTGGTCAAACAGAAGTGATTTCCAAGCAACTGAATTCAATAAAAAATGAAGAGAAGGCCCCCTTTGCAGGATCCACTGCGGAGGCTGCAGTTGGGGTGGTGGTGGGGGAGGCAGCGGACCCAAACAAGATGCTCCAATTCACTTCCTTGTAGCTGTCTTCAAAGGAAAAATCACTAGCCATGTGCTCTGTGCACAAAGTGAATCATTGATTTTTTAAAAACTAGTTTATTTTAAAAACTATGGAGTGCTTTACAAGTTTGCATGTCCTCCTTGCATGGGGGCCATGCCAATCCTCCCTGTATCCTTCCAATTGTAGTATATGT